TTTTTTTTTTTTTTGAGACGGAGTTTCGCTCTTGTTACCCAGGCTGGAGTGCAATGGCGCGATCTCGGCTCACCGCAACCTCCGCCTCCTGGGTTCAAGCAATTCTCCTGCCTCAGCCTCCTGAGTAGCTGGGACTACAGGCACGCGCCACCATGCCCAGCTAATTTTTTGTAGTTTTAGTAGAGACGGGGTTTCACCATGTTGACCAGGATGGTCTCGATCTCTTGACCTCGTGATCCACCCGCCACGGCCTCCCAAAGTGCTGGGATTACAGGCTTGAGCCACCGCGCCCGGCCTAAACTAATATTCTTAATGAATAATCCCATATTGGAATTTGGAAAAACATTAATAACTTTAAAAATAGGAAATATTTTAATACTATTTGTAGAAACCCTGAATTCATTTACTGCTTTTCTTTTTCCTTTTTAAACTTGAGAACCAGCCAATATGTTATCAGAATGCTTTCAAAAGAATGCACTTAAGTACAGGATAAGTGTTTATAATTCTAACTTCAGGGGTTTGGAACGCTAAACATTTTAATAAAACAGACAATGGGATTGAAAGGGAAATTTGACAATAATACCTTTAAAAGCTTTAGTATTTTATGTCATTTTCTGGTCAAGGGTATGAATATTTCATGGAAGCTCTAAAAAGAAACACAAAGAAAAAGCTTTCATTTCCTTTTGATTATCCTATCTGAGGGATGGGTAGAGCTCTATAGGCAAGCCTTAGATCTTTGTTCAACAAATGCATAAACATGGAAATGTAAGCAAATACATGTGCAGAAGAATAGAAATGACTCTACATGGAAGAGTTGTCCTTGGGATATAAAAGCTTAAACCAGGAACGGTGTTCTGGAGGTGAGCAGTGAATTAAAATGCTGAACAACTTGTCCTCTCTCATCAATGTTTCACTTGTAAACTTAAGTGGGTGGTTTACTCTTTATTTTATTCTCTCTTAGATGGTAAGAATAATGCTTGTCATACCCATATCAATAGGGAAGTGTGAAGGAGCTTGCAACTGTAACCTACTGTCTACTTATAATTACTCACAAGTGTGTCAGAAAGAAAGTACTGAATCTTAAAGACAGAGTCAAGATGGAAGCTAAATTGCAAAGAATACCAACTGGTCAGGGCCCTTTCTCTGCTGCATTTCATAATAGTAGTAGCTGTCTAATGATATTTATATTTTCTACAGTAAAAATGCAAAAGACTCTAATTATAAAAATAACTTTTGTCTCCACACAGACTAAAATACCATGACAAAAGGTTTGAATATAGAGACTTGATGACATACTTCATTTCAAATTTTGGCTTTAGTTCTGAATCAAACTAAGCATGGAACTCCATATACCAAAGGGACTTTTTCCCCTAATAACAACTGCCTAACTACCATATGTTATATTAATACTGGGCAGTGAAAGATGCAAAATCAAAAGCAAAAGTATAATATCCTATAAGACAGTATCTTTATGACTTCCAAAAACGATGAGATTTATTAAACAAAATACAAAAGTGCAAACTGCAGAGATAAAGTTTAAAATGCATTAAAAAGACTATCAGAACTTCTGATTTCTGACCATCAAATCAATGAAAAAAAAAAAAAAAAAGAAGAACTACACACTGACAGATGATATTTTGTAATGCACATGAGAGGCAAAGGATTTGTCAATATCCAAAAAAAATAAATAAAAGGAATCTTACAAGACAAAGAAGAATAACTCACTTTAAATAATAAGAAAAAATCTTAACAGGTACTTTTCAGAAAGAAAATCTGAACAGCCAATAAAATATACCCAATCTAATAAATAATCAAGTAAATAAAAATTAAAACCATATTGAGAGATTATTTATAACTCACTACAGTGGGAAAAAACAGTTTGTTAACATCTTGTCTTGGTGAGGATGAGGGTTAACCGATCACTTATACAGTACTTCTCGTGGATACAAAATACCAAAACTACTCTGAAAAATAATTTGGCATAATCTGTACACTTTCATGTTTCTGGCTTTGCATTTTCTATAAATTAAGAAAAATATTTATTGTATATTTCTGCATGAATTATATTTCAAGGTAACCAAATAAGTGATAAGGAAAAGTTTTGCTCTATAGAGGAATTCAAGCTAAAAAATTCAGGATAAATGACAGAATTATAGAGTCATAATTATTCAACTCTTAGTAAAAGTACTGAGATAGCTTTCAATAGTAGATGCTAATACCATTGGATGAAATTTTATGGGAAATCTTGTAGAGAAGTAATTAGGCTGACACTACCTGAATGTACTGATCAAGCTCAGATGCAACAGGCAGTATAGAGCATCACGTATTAAAATTTCTTACTTAGAAAAATATTATACTGCATTTAATTAAATAAGTTTAGAGGGAATAGAGGAATATAGATAATAGAACAAACAGCAGGATTTTACTGGATCAGTAAAATCTAGAATGTGAGACATTTCAGGACAATGTTTTTCAAGACCTGGCTTCTCCAACAAATAAATAGCGTAGAAGATAAAAAGAAAGAGGGGGACTGTTGTAAAGAAAAAAAGATGCAAAGGGCCAAGATACAGTATAACAAAACATAATACAACTCAAATTTTGATTGGTCAAACCAACTATAAAAATATTTAGACAGTCAATTAAATGTTAACAAGGGTGAAAATGAAATGTGAACTAAGTATTAGATGATATTAAGGAAAGTATTTTGTTAGGTATAATAATGTCATGACGTTTTCTTTAAAGATGTTATCAGATAAAGATCCAGGCTGAAGTGTTTGCAGGTTAAATTAGATATCTTACATTTGCTTTAACAAAAAACTTAATATAATAGAATTCAGGTTTTTAAAAATTATTAGTTATAAGGGTGGTGATGAAAAGCAAGAGGTCTAGGATAACATCTGGATTTTGCCTTTGGTTTCAAGGATGGTGTCATTTGCCAGGACAGGTGATACAGAAGCAACAGCAGCCTATAGGAATTAAAATGACTTTAATTTTGAACACAAGTTTTAAGAGTCACAAAGGGCTTGATTGAGTTTGGAAACCATAAATTATAAGCATCAGCCATCCACACCTTTATGAAATTTCCTATAAATTTCTTCAGCAGTACCCAGGGGTGTAGCTACAAGTGCTGTGAAAAAAAATGTCTGGATCAATCTACTTTGGAATGCATTAGGTCAGATATAACCAAAGACCAAAAAGACATGGGCAATGGGGATTATTGCAAGAAAGCAGTTAAATTATATGTTATCCTAGGTTAAATAGAAAAGTGCTAAATCCATTACAGTGGTGATGGTAGCCAGGTATTGTGGCTCACGCTTGTAATCCCAGAATTTTGGGAAGCTGAGTTGGGTCCATCACCTGAGGTCAGAAGTTTGAGACCAGCCTGACCAATATGGTGAAACACTGTCTCTACTAAAATACAAAAATTAGCTGGACATGGTGGTGTGCACCTGTAATCCCAGCTACTTGGGAGTCTGAGGCAGGAGAATCACTTGAACCCTGGAGGCAGAGGTTGGCCATGAGCCAAGATGGTGCCACTGCACTCCAGCCTGGGCGACAGAGCAAGACACTGTCTCATTAACAACAACAACAACAACAAAAGTGGTGATGGGTTAGGAAGTCTTCAGATAATATCAATAAGGGTCGATAGAGGATAACAGGCATCTCAGAGGAGGTAAGTATTGTTATAATGATCAAATAATGATCTGAATACAGTAGTGGAGAGTTAAAGCAGAATGCTGCTACTTAATTTTGGGGTGCTATCATTAAGTAAGAGAGAATAAAATGTTTTAGCTTGCATGCTATGTAGAAGGAAGCAGAATAACCCATCTGTGGATAGATAGGTAGAGTAGAATAGATCCTAGGTGATAGATAAGGGTTCTAGAATAAAAGGCAAGGGTCAATAGTAAAAAGAATGATGGGTGTGAAGGAATGGGTGTCCCGGAATAGGACAGAGATGAGAGAAATGAGGGCGAGCTGGTCAGGGGCCAGCACTTTGGCTGGTGACCAAAGAAAAGTGGAGCAAAACATGTTAGATGAGCTGCTCTTGAGGCTTCTGGGCAGACCAAGTCCCAAGTGCTGCAAAAGCCTCATGAGGTTAGCAAATTTTAGGCACTACTTATCATTGAAAAGGAGTGTCACTGGGAATTTATTTATCTTGTCTGTGAAGAGTCCTTTTTCTCAGGTTATTAATGGAAAAAATCCTTATTTCTTATTTTAAGATTTAGTTCTTTTCATACTAATAATCAGTTGTATCATATTCCTATTATATACACATTAGCATTTTAGGCACAATGCTGACCGTAAAATAAAAAGTCTCTGTCCCTGCCTCTAAGGGTGCAAGAGTTGTATATAATTTACCTCATATCTTTGGGCCTTGGAAGAAGTCTTTTTTTCCCACTAAAGTAGACTTCAAAATCTTCAGTCTTCAGCCTGTGGGCATAGTCGATGTATCCTGATATCTCTTGCCCATGAGAATTTCTGTCACGAATAAAGATCACGGACTGGTAGTGCAGAAGAGAGAATAAGAGAACAACATAAAAGAGCTTATTTATTATTGAATGCTATAGGATAGAATAATGTAAAACACTACTATGAGTGACCTTAGGAAGCAGGTTCCAAAAGAGTGGTTATAACATTGAACAGATTATTTTTCACCACTACACCTTAAAAAAAAAAAAAGAAAAAAAAGAAAAAGAAAACAAAAACACGTTACTGGCCAAGCGCGGTGGTACAGGCCTGTACTTTGGGAGGTTGTGGCGGGCGGGATCACCAGGTCAGCAGATCAAGATCATCCTCTCCAATATGGTGAAACACCCTCTCTACTAAACTACAAAAAATTAGCCCAGCGTGGTGGTGCGCGACTGTAATCCCAGTTACTCAGGGGGCTGAGGCAGGGGAATCGCTTGAACCCGGAAGCGGAGTTGTCAGTGAGCCAAGATCTTACCACTGCACTCCAGCTTGGCTACAGAATAAGATTCCCTCTTAAAACAAAACAAAACAAACACACAAAAAACATGTTACTAACAATATTCCAATTGAAAAAGGAAAAGAACAACAGAGATACAATTAACAATTAGTTGTCATTATGCTGATAGATTTCACCTGAATTGCTTATTCTGGTTGTTTAGCATTGAATGCTGAGAATATTGTGCTAAAAAGGATTTTCAGGCAAGTTCTTTTTTAAGAGGAGAAAGTGTTGTGATGGATTAGTTATATATCCCACAGATATGGCAAGAGGAACTAGCATTCTTTCTGATTCCTGTGTGCAATCTTATATAGATTTCAATCCTCAGCCCTTTTCATTTTGCCCAAATAACTCCATGTAAATTAGTATCAATGACTCCATGCTTTTAAGCCACTTGTTTAATTCTGCAGCACAAATTATAAACGAATAGTAACTCAGAGACTTCCTGAGACTCACACTGCAGACCAACGACTAGCAATGCTGCACCTCCTTAAACAAGGACATAAGCTATAATTCTTAAAATTTATATGCATTCCTAAAGGTACTTGGCATCTTTTCACCATCAAGGTTGCTCCTGATATCAATTATGTCCTATTGGGGGACACACACACACACACACACACACACGCACAAACTCAGAGACAGGGAGAGAGAGAGACAGAGAAGCCCCCTTAAATGAAATTCTATTAACAGAAAAATATCCCAAATATCCCCCCCGACTCTTTAAATGAGAGATGAACCAGACTTATTTCTCCAGAAAAATGGCAGTCTAGATATTGTGACTGAACTTCCTACTAAAAGCAAATAAAAATTCTGAGTAAAATCTAAAACAATAACTTGTAAAATGCATTGATGCTCTGGCAAGGAAAAGAAATACTCAGAGTCCAAAAACTAAGTGAAAGCAGGAACGCAGGGAGGAGAGCAGGGCCTTAAAATAATCTTTGCCCTGCAAGCATTTGCCCAACCTCAGGGAATCTGAGCAAGGTTTCCATGACCTTGCAGGGTAAGGATGCAGGAAACAAATTCCACCCTTTCAGAGACAGAGCCTCATAGAACGTGTTGCCTCAACAGAAAGCTGAGAAATAAAAGCTGCATGAAATACTATCTTTAATGAGTCCAGAAAATATGACAATTATCCAAGAACTGTACATCAGAGAAAATTCTTTCCAGTGAGCAAAATATACACATCTTCAGATAAATAATAATAATAATAATAATAATAATAATAATGAGGGACTTGACTAACAACAGATCAGAGTTCGAAGAAATTCTGCAGGATATATTTCAAGCAAAAGGAAATGATTCTAGCTAGCAAGTCGAAGATAAAGAAAATTATAATGAAAGAAAGTTGCAAATATAGAAATAGAAACAATATGATCTGTATAAAACAACAATAATGACTTCTTAAATAAAGAATAATATGTTTAAAATATTTTAAATAAACATATATGTTGGGAGGGAGTGATTAAGGTTTTGTGATGTCCTGGAATTTTTCAGAATGAGGGCAGATATATTGATCAATTTTAGAATTTGACAAATACATGTGTATAAATCTAGGATGATTATTAAGAAATAAGAAATAGTATATATATGACCTTTAAATTATAGTGGGATATATAAGGTGAGAAAAAGTAATAAATCAATTAAATAGAACGCAAAAGCTAAAAGGAAAAATATAGAAGAGTCAGGAAAAATAAAATATACAAAATGTAAAGATAGTGCTATGGGTTCAATTGTGTTCTCCCCAAATTCATAAGTTGACACTCTGAACTCCAGTACCACAGAGATGACTGTATTTGAAGACAGAGCCTGTCGAAATGTGAATACATTGCAATTAGCTTTTTAGGGTGGGCTCTAATCCAAGCTGATTGTGTAAATGTGGACACACAGAGAGATGCTAGGGGTGCACGTGTACACTGTCAAGATTCTGCGAGGACACAGCAAGAAGATGGCCACCTGTAAGGAAAAGAAAAAGCCTGCACAAGAAACCAGACCTGCCAACACCTTCAACTATCTTGGACTTATAACTTTCAGAACTGTGAGAAAATAAAATTGTGTTGCTTAAGGCATTGTCTGGGGTATTTTGTAGTGGCAGCCTTAGCAAACTCATACAGATTATAATAAGAAAATAATTAAGTATGTGCAATAAGTATAAATAAATAAATTTTTAAGTTGAAAACAAGGTTATTAGCATATATATATATATATAACATGAAACATAATACCACTTAGAGGTTGAAAATTAGGTAATCAAAGAACATACATACAGGAGAATTTCCATCCAAAAAGAGAATAATCAGTATACTAATATTAGCCAGAATAGATTTTAACATAAAAAGCATTACTAGAGATGGAGCTTCACTGCATAATGATACAAGGTTAATGTCATAGAAAAATACAATTCTAAACTTGAGAAAGTGTTTAAAAACAAAGTTTCAAGATATTTAAAGCACAAATTGATAGAACTAGAAGGATATGTAGACAAGCCATTATCACTTTGGTGAATTCATCTCCTTCATTATTTCTAGATTAAGAAGATAATGAATACATAAAAATTATAGAATTAATATGGATTTAAAGGACTTAAACACAAACATGAAGTCTTGGGGTTTATCGTAGGCTAGTATCAACATTTCTTTACACTTCAATGTTCTTGTAAGTAAAATGACTGATAATCTAAAATTATATATATTTGGCCATGATTTCACTATTTTATGTAACTGTATATAGTCTTCTTGTGTCAGTTAAATCCCCCCTTTCCTGGAAACATGATTAAATTTATTTCAAATCTCACTTCTCCAGCCCTGTGAGAGTTAAATATCTTCTCTGTGATTTTTGTGAATTCTTAGTTTTCTGATGCTGGAGGACTTTAAATGAGATCAAACGGAGTATAAGTGTGCATCCCTCTAGAATCATTATATAGAGACCTCAGTAAGTCACTCAAACTACTCTCAATGTCTTGCTTAGATTCATCAGTTCTGGGCCCTTAAGCATCCTCCTGAAAAATCCAGCAAGTTTCTGTCAAAAACAAAACAAAACAAAAACCGACAAAACAACAGAATCCTGCTTAGACCTGATCATTTAGCTAGTCTGGCTATTGAACAGCCTCGTTCTTCATGTTTCTCTTTTAACTCTGTAGAGCAAGAGAATAATCCTTTCCTGTCTGGAACTACTCAGTTTACATTCACGTGCTGTCGGGGTCATCTGCCCTCAGCACCCAATTCAAAAGCATTATACAAATACTGCTTTTTTTTTTTTCTCAGAATTCTGGTTAATAATCATTGTATCTATGATTTTTTGTTTAATTTTTAACAAAAAAATGCCCAATTAAAATTTTTAAACTTAAAATTCTAAACGCAAAAGAGATAATCATATGAGGCTGTTTTCACACAAATCTGTATAGAACAAATGTAAATTCCCTCATTATGTCTTTCCAACTATGGCTATATATGGGTAAAAGTATAAGAAGACTTGGGAATATTTTTAAGACTTTTTAGTAAAATTTTTTAAAAGTTTGCTAAAATAAAATATTTTTCTAATATTGATAGAAATTGCTTTATTTCTGACATTGATAGAAATGCTTTATTAAATTATTTTTAAAATTTGCTTGGAACTATTAGTATGTGGTAATTGCTGACAAATCAGGAAATTACAACTCAGCATTTAATTTTAGCAATGCATCTTTTAAATGGCACAGCTTGGGATTATAGGGGCAGAAGAGGTGATAACACTGACAATCAGACAGAAGTGGGTGGCAGATGTTAATAGTTGTCAAGAGCTTGAGGGCTGGTTGAAATTTCTCTGTCTTATTTATTTTATATTTTGTGGATTACCTAAGAATTTGAATGAAGTTATACTATCAGCTTAACTGTGTATTTATTTCAAAATGTATATTTTTCTCCAGAGTTAATAACAATTATTTCTTCCATGAATATTTGTTATCTTTATTAAGAGGCCACCATATTCTGAGTGAAGCTTTAAGAGTTTTACATTCATTATCTTATTTAATTGTGTGAAACATGTTATAATGGCTAGATAGCATTATTGCCCTCATTTTATAAATGTGGGAGATGAAAGCATTGAGAGTTTCGGTAACTCCCAAGGACATGTAGTTAGAGAGTGGAGCACCAAACTCACACCCAGGTTGGCTTCCCATGACACTCAGGTTCTTATCTACTGTATGATGGACAGACTTGGATTCAAATGCTTGCTCTGTCATCTACTTACTGTGTGACACTGGTAAGTTACTAATACGTTTTAAGATTCAGTTTCCTCTGTTATAAAATGGGCATAATAATACCTAGAGTGGTGTGTGAATTAAATAACACTACTTTGTTAAGCACTTGGTAATGCCTAGTACATGGTAAGCACTCAATAAATAGTATTTATTGCTTTTGAAAACTTTTTTCATCAATGTTGCTATTGTATTTGTAGTATGTTAAGAGTTTCGTAAGTTCCTTAGGGAATATGGAAACGGAATAATCATATCAGAATTCCATTACCTGGTGTATATAGTTATGGTTCAATTTCTTTTTT